GTAAAATAATAAAAATCCATAATGTAGTACCCCGTTTGCTTTTGTAAACCTAAAATACTGAGTTTTTAATAAATTTTAATATTTTTTGAAATTATTTTTAAGACGAACCTAGCCAATACAACTTATTCTCTAATCCAGATCATCGACCCACTGATCCAACTTAGTTTTCCGTATAGATGATTCGGATCACCAACCGTTTTTTAAACCTTGCTTAGAGTGATTAGCTTCGCTTTTTTTAAAAGTAAAACCCGAAGACTCGGCTGATTTGAAATGAATTTCATAACACTTGATATAAAGACTACTAAGAGACTAAAGACCCGGGTATTGTATTTCTTCAAAATTAATAATATTAACTAACTTCCACGAAAAATAAGGTATTATTCTGCAGCACAATATTAAAACTCGACAAATCAACTGCTAAGTTTCGAAATGAAAGAACGAACCCAAGGCCTTGCTTTTCAAGTCATGAGGTGCCACTGTGAAATCTTGATTTCATTCTTACTCAGTTAACATTCAAAAAATAATAATAACAAATAGAATCTCAATGTGACTCAGTTGATTTCTGTTACCAACTCAACTTGGTCCAGAATCTTTCTTTTCTTTTTTTTTTCCTTTTTAGTAGTTCAATAGGAAAAAGGGCCCCTATCCATTGTAGGAATAAAATCCAAAATGTCAATGTTGAATACCAAGTGTCCCTACGCTTAATATACATGAAATAAATATAGTAGACCAATGATCACTTAACCTGTATGCCAAAGAAAAGGACCCGAAAAAGCAGAACATCGTAACCTTTTTTCCTTGATTGTTATCATGTTGGTCTTCTATTGATCTCATTTCAACCATATACGAGGATGGGGTATTCGGACCGCTCAGACAAATTGCAGCTGGTCATAGAGTTTCAAATCCATTAATAACCATGGAATCAAGAAAGGCGCCTGCTTTGGCTATTCCTTTAGCTTGAGCATTACTCTCCCTACATTCAGGAATGAATTCAACCTGCTTTGATTCCAATATGTCCTAAATGTCTATCACCATCGATACCTGCTTTGATTCCAATATGTCCCAAATCTCTATCACCATCGATCTTAGTCTCCATCCGTTTGTTCACTATACAACACATGATTGTACCGTTGGTTCACTGTTTGTGTTCATCGAATTCCCCTCCACAATTTGGGCTGGCAATTGCCCAAGAGGCCCAGCCTTAAAAAACTAGGGCTTGGGCGAGGGCCACACAAGGCCCTGACTCAGCCCAACCCTTTTCTTTTTCCTTTTTTTTTTTTCTTCGAGCCCAATCTGGGCTGGCCCTATAGGAACCAGGCTCGGCCAGGACCCATTGATTTTAACTTGGTCTTGAATCAACTTAAGGCCTTACAATACTGTTTTGACTTCAGTTTCATTAGCAGTGCATTCTCCAGCAGCCCCTGAATGAACATTGTTATAGCATTCTTGTCGCTTGTGAGACAACTCAATCCCCGCTCACCAAGATTCCCCAAGGAACATCCGTGAAATTCATCTTCATCCATTCTTGTGCTGGAGGACACCAGTTAGCCACTTTATTTCATCTATGATATATCATTTTTCCAACCTCAATATTTGTGTAACCATTCACTGGTACCCTGCAACCATCCCCCAATCTGCCAGTGGCCAACTCTCTACCCTGCAACTGTCCTACAGGCAGGCAGTCACCTTGAAACATAATGACTATTGCGGTTCTTCCATAACTGCCATAACAGTGCAGCCTAAAGGATTTTCCATATAAGCTGGCGTGTTTAGAGGGCTGTGCTGGAGCTTAGATTTTCTGAACATATATGTCGCTGAAGCTGGCAAAGGAACATTTAACTGCATTGCCCAACTTCAGTTTTATAATCAACTCCCATCATAGAAACAGATGACAAGCAGTCTCCCCAACCCTTTTACACAAATACGAAACATTGATTACGACTATCCCTCCTAACTGATCAGCTGTCAACAGTTGCCAAATAGACAACAGTGAAATGAAGGCTTGAATTTTGTAAGGTACAGGAAGGTTCAATGATTTATCAAATCATCTCAATTTTTGTGGAATAGTAACTGATATACTAATCTTACCTAAAAGTCCTCCTTAGCCACTGGTTCCCATTTAACTTCATCTCTTCTACTCAGGCAACAGTAGACATTCATTGAATCACTCAGAGACTGGTAGAATTCTGCAAGGAAGGTATCTGGGATTCTGTTATACCTGCAAGTAATCTCCCAATCGGTATTATCAAGTAAGCCCTGAGACCAAATAACTAATCCCTGCATTTGGCTGAGTAACTGCCCTAAACAAACCTGGAAGTTGGAACTATGAAGGCATCCCACCTAGCCATTTATGATGCCAGAACAGGGTGGTCTATCCCTACCTATGTCCACAATGCTATTAAGCAGGTTTGCAACTCGTAATCCCCCTCCATATGCCAGACTATAGATATATATATATACACACACAAGGACGTCACAATCACTCTTGTCTGTCAGATTTCAAATCAGGTGGTTATGAATGTATTATTGACTAGATCAATAGTCAAAAAAAAAAATTCTCTAACTTTGTGACACACCTCAAGCTGTCTAATTTGAAATCTAATAGCTAGTAGCAATTGTGACCTCCTTGTAATAAAGATAATAGCATCATAATATATATATTATGATATATATATAAGGAAAATGCTGGCATAAGACCACTAGCCTACAACTACATATAGGCACAACGGCCCAGAATGAATCTGGGCCGATCCAATGATCATGATTGCATTTCGTATTTGAATTTTAAATTTTTTTTACATAAATCCAAATCACTTGAAATTTTAGGCATATGTTCTTTAAAAATATTAGAATCCAATAAAAATATCAAAAAAATATTTTGTAAAAAATAAATTGACCAAAATACCCTCAAAGCATTTCATGGGTATTTTAGTCAATTTATATTTTATGAATTATTTTTTTAATATTTTTATTAGGTGCACGTTAATGAAAAGAATAGACGCCTAAAATTTCACATGATTTGAATGTGTAGAAAAAAACTTAAAATTCAAATACGAAATAAGGTCGTGTCCATCAAATCGACCCAGATTCAATCTGAGCCGTTGGGCTTATATGTAGCAGTAGGCTAATAGGCATACACCAATATGTGAAAATCTTCCTGTTAGCTAACGTGAAGATATGAGCCCAACGGCATGTTTTTCTACAAATCCAAATCATTTGAAATTTTAGACGTGTTCTTCTCATCAAGCAGCACCTAATAAAAATATAAAAAAAATAATTCGCAAAAACCAAATTGACCAAAATACCCGCGAAACTTTACAGGGGCATTTTGGTCAATTATTTTTAAGTAAAATATTTTTTTGATATTTTTCTAAGGTTCACCTATTTTTGATGAACACACACCTAAAATTTCAAGTGATTTGGATTTGTAGAAAAAAATTTAAAATTCAAACACTATCGAGCATCCATGATCATCAGATCGACCCAGATTCAATCCGAACCTTTGGGCTCATATCTTCTTGTTAGCCCTTGGACCAACAGTAGCATCATCCATATATATATATATGGAAAAAAATTTCCAACGCCTATAAACGAAAATGAATAGTGATTTCGCCTACCCTCATCACCGTCCCAATTTCATCGCACGGTCACGATTGTCCGGTAGTGTTTTATTTTTCATTGTTTTTCTACAAATTGGAATGACCTGAAATTTGGAGGATATGTACATCTTATTGACGCGCATCTAATAAAAATATAAAAAAAATTATCCGAGAAAAATAAATTGACCAAAATAACCCCAAAATGTTTTAGGGGTATTTTGATCAATTGTTTTCATGTAAAATATATTTTTTATAATTTTCAAAGATTCCCCTATTTTTGATGAATACACGTTCCAAATTTCAAGTCATTCCAATTTGTAGAAAAAAAATAAAAAATAAAATACTACCGGACAATCATGACCGCGCGATGAATTTTGGACGGTGATGGAAGTAGACAAAATCACTGTTCAT